TGTGTGTGTGTGTACTTGTGTGTGTGTGTGTGTGTACTTGTGTACTTGTGTGTGTGTGTGTGTACTTGTGTGTGTGTGTGTACTTGTGTGTGTGTGTGTACTTGTGTGTGTGTGTGTACTTGTGTGTGTGTGTGTGTGTACTTGTGTGTGTGTGTACTTGTGTGTGTGTACTTGTGTGTGTGTGTGTACTTGTGTGTGTGTGTGTACTTGTGTGTGTGTGTGTACTTGTGTGTGTGTGTGTACTTGTGTGTGTGTGTGTGTGTACTTGTGTGTGTGTGTGTGTGTACTTGTGTGTGTGTGTACTTAGTGGCGAATGGCGGTTGTTGTTGTTGTTGTGTCCGGCAAAACAACCCCCTACTTCCTCGCGGTGCCGGACGGGCAACTCTGTCGTGGACAGTGCTGTGGGGGGAGTTCCAATTTTGATTGGCTCCTCCCCTCATGGCATATGTGTCCACCACAGGGGCTAAACGGGGGCTCTGGACGGGTGCGAGGGGCTGGTAACCCCTCCACCTTCAATTAATTACCACAAAACCACGAATTAAAGTGAAATATGTAACAACTAAGCTTGTGCCGGAGGCCCCGGGGGGCCAGGCGTCTATGACGTCTCCTGGCCAAACCCCAATTGGCGGAGCCAGGAGATTGAATACCTACCCTCGGGGCTACTCCAGAAACAACGAAAAGCCACTACGGGTGGCCACGTGGAATGTTCGAACGCTCACTGCAGAGGAGAGGCTGCCACTCCTCTGTCGGGAGCTGGACCGGTACCGCCTGGATCTATGCGGCATTCAGGAGGTCCGGTGGACCGGCTCTGGCTCCTGCCACCATGAGGGGTGGACAGTCCTCTACTCGGGACAGCAGACTGCCAAACAACAGGGTGTGGGTCTTCTTTTGAACAAAAGAATGAAGGGGGCGTGGGAGCGTGGCGGTGAGGTGTGGGAAGCTGTAAGCCCCAGGCTACTTTGGGCTCGCCTTCCCATCAACCGGAGGCGAGGAATGGTGGTCGTGGTTACTTATGCCCCCACCGAAGATGAACATCCGTGGAGGGATGCAGGCAAAGCCGATGAGTCAGATGCCTTCTATGACCTCCTGTCACAGGTGCTGGCTAAAGTGGCCCCTCGGGATAGAGTCATCATGTTGGGTGACTTCAATGCCCGAGTTGGTCATGATACTGGCACCTGGTCTGGAGTGATTGGAGGGCATGGGCCAGATCAGCTCAATAACAATGGTAGGAGGCTGCTAGATTTTTGTGCAGCCCATGGGCTTGTAATTACCAACACGCTGTTCCGGCATCGGCGCATCCACACAACATCATGGATGCATGCCGGGTCCAAGCAAGAACATCTGCTGGACTACATAGTGACGGACCAGCGAATGCGAGCCCATGTCCTTGACACCAGGACCTACCGTGGAGCTGATCTGCCCTCTGACCATCGACTAGTCATCTGTAAGATGCGCCTGCCATTCTTCCACTCCGGTGGTGGGTGTACACCCAGGACCCCATTCCAACCTAAAGTGGCCTGGTCTCAGTTATCTGATGAAAGTTGCAAGCGAGAATTTCATCATCGCTTGCGGCTGGGATTGGCATCGTCCCCGACTCCTCCTGATGTCGAGGGTAAATGGGCGAGGTTTAGGACTGTGACTCATGCAGCTGCAATGGCTGCTTTGGGTACACGGTCCAGACCTCCCCAGACACCCTGGATGACAGAGGAGTTGTTCAGGATGGTTGAGAAAAAGCGACAGGCCCACTGTCATCGGCTACAGAATCCCACGTCAGAGAATGAGGAGGCTTACCGCAGCCTTCGCTCGGAGGTTCGGAGAGCCGTGAGGCGCTGCAAGGATGGGTGGTGGTCGCGGGTTGCTGAGGAGATGGAGTCTGCCTCAGTGGCCCGTGATCACAAATCGCTATTTAACTCCATCAAAAAAGTAACCTGCAGCGCCACACCTATTACCATCATTAGGGGAAAAAACGGTGATCCAATTTCCGACCCCCAGGAACAGGTTCGCAGATTTGCTGAGCATTTCTGTGAGGTCCTGGGGGAGGGAAAATCCCACAGCCAGGAAAACATCGTGGCACAAAGTGAGGATGACCCTGCTGAGGCTGCGGTGCCTCAAATATTGGATGAAGTCACCCCCTGTGAGTGGCTGGCTGAGGTGCCATCTGCTGAGGAAGTATTGAAGGCGATCCGGAGTCTGAGACCAGGAAAGGCAGCGGGCAGAGATGATCTCCCAAGCGAAATGCTGAGGGAGGGTGGCGTTTGTGCACAGACTGCCCTATATGACATCATAACAACAGTCTGGACCACTGGACGGGTTCCGCAGGATTGGAAGGATGCCCTGGTGGTCCCCCTTTTTAAGAAGGGGGACCGCACAGACTGTAACAACTACAGGGGCATCTCACTCCTCAGTGTGCCGGGAAAGGTCCTGGCAAGGATTATTCAGCATCGCCTTGCCAGGCACGCTGAGGAGAGGCTTGCGGAGCCCCAATGCGGTTTCAGGAAAGGGCGGTCCTGCACAGATGCCATATTTTCTGTCCGTCTGCTACAGCAGAGGTGTAGGGAATTCCAACAAGACCTACATCTCTGCTTTATTGACCTGGTCAAGGCCTATGATACCATCAGTAGGCCTGGGCTCTGGGTCGTTCTTCGTGCTTTTGGAGTACCTGACCCTCTGCTCACGATCATTAAGGACCTTCATGATGGTGAGCGGGCCCGGGTAAAACTACGTGGCCGGGAGTCAGAGCCATTCCCTGTACACCTTGGGGTGCGACAGGGATGTCCTCTGGCTCCCACATTATTTAACATCTATTTTGACCACGTAGTTCGTGAAGCCTTCAATAGCTGTACCGGGGGAATCTCCATATGGTACAGATATAATGGGAGGCTAATCGATGCCCGGGTGCGGTCAAGGGATGGCTCCCTATTGCTCAACCACGTTATGTATGCTGATGACTTGGTAATAGCTGCTCAGTCAGAGGAGGAGTTGCAGACGCTGCTGCTGAGACTGGAGCGTGCCACTAAGAGGTGGGGCCTTACCATCAGCCCCACCAAAACTAAGCACCTGCCTGGGTATTTTGTACCATCGGACACTCCACCCCCACAACTCCCAATCGGTGATGGGGCAGTTGTGGAGAGAGTGGAGAGTTTCCCATACCTGGGCAGTGTGCTTATGACTGGCTCCAGTTTAACAGCAGAGGTCTCACTCCGAATCAGTCGAGCGGCAATATCTTTTCATCGGTTGCGTAACGCTGTGTGGAAGCTACCTGGTCTGTCGCTCCGCACTAAGCTTCAGGTCTTCTCGGCCACGGTCATTCCCTCCCTTCTCTACGCTTGCGAAACGTGGACCCCCCTAATGGAACATCTTCGCCGGTTAGAAACATTTAGGCTGACCTGCCTACGATCCATCCTGGGTTTAACCAGACTGGATTGTGTGAGGAGCTCACAAATCCTTGAAAGATCTGGGCAGGGTCCCATCGGTGAGCTCCTCCGGCAGGCAAGGCTGGGATGGCTGGGTCATGTAGCCCGCATGCCCAGCCACCGCATGCCGAAACAGCTTTTGTTTGGCCGGATTGAGGGGGCTAAGCGGGCGCGGCACGGGCTAGAGAAGAGATGGAGTGATGTGGTACAGGAGGACGTGGAGCTGAGTGGACTTGCCGATGACTGGTACCAGCGGTGTCAAGATCGGCCTCTGTGGAGGAGGCTCGTGAAGGATGCTACTGGGCAGTTGGAGGCAGTCGCCCTCCAACAACAACGGAGGGCGGAGGAGCGACGCTCACAACAGCGAGCGGAGCGCCGGGTGGCTAAAGCACAGCAGGTTGGCACAGTAGGGGGCACAGGTGGTGCATCAGCCAGTCATCTCAGTCAGTCGACCCGTGGCACCTGGGTCTGCCCCGTGACCTCCTGCCAGCGGGCGTTCGACACTTCACGTGGCCTCAGGGTGCACATAGCCTGGCACAAGCGTCGTGGTGACGTCACCGCCACTTAGTGGCGAATGGCGGTTGTTGTTGTTGTTGTGTGTGTGTGTACTTGTGTGTGTGTACTTGTGTGTGTGTGTGTACTTGTGTGTGTGTGTGTACTTGTGTGTGTGTATTTGTGTGTGTGTGTACTTGTGTGTGTGTGTGTACTTGTGTGTGTGTGTGTACTTGTGTGTGTGTGTACTTGTGTGTGTGTGTGTACTTGTGTGTGTGTGTGTGTACTTGTGTGTGTGTGTGTGTACTTGTGTGTGTGTACTTGTGTGTGTGTGTGTGTACTTGTGTGTGTGTACTTGTGTGTGTGTGTGTACTTGTGTGTGTGTGTGTGTACTTGTGTGTGTGTGTATTTGTGTGTGTGTGTGTACTTGTGTGTGTGTGTACTTGTGTGTGTGTGTGTGTACTTGTGTGTGTGTGTGTGTGTACTTGTGTGTGCGTGTGTGTGTGTGTGTACTTGTGTGTGTGTGTACTTGTGTGTGTGTGTGTATTTGTGTGTGTGTGTACTTGTGTGTGTGTGTACTTGTGTGTGTGTGTACTTGTGTGTGTGTGTGTACTTGTGTGTGTGTACTGGTGTACGCTTGTGTACTTGTGTGTGCGCGTGTACTTGTGTGCGCGCATGTGTACTTGTGTGTGTGTGTGTACTTGTGTGCGCGCGTGTGTATTTGTGTGTGCGCGTGTACTGGTGTGTGCGCGTGTGTATGTGTGGGGAGCGGTAGTGTAGCGGTTAGCGCGCTGCGCTACGAACTCGGTAGAGTTCGATTCCCGCTCATGGCTACCAACACCAGTGACGATTATTTGAACCCGGTCCTGGGCCTCCCCGAGGTCGACTCAGCCTCAAATGAGTACCTGGTGCAGTGTGTAAACATCGCCACTGGGAAGACAAAGGCGGCCGGGCGTGGTGTTGGCCACCCACCCCCTCGTGTGCGGTGCCGTCCTTCATAGGTGCTCGCAAACAGCACTTGCCTCAACAGTCTGGTAAGGCTATACTGGGTGATGGTTGTCTTTATGTGTGTTTGTGTATATGTGCTGTCTTTAGCTGGAGCACCAAGCTGTATCTGACTCCCAGCCAAGGTTTGCTGACGGGCATTGCCCTGCTCTGCATCTGCATTGCCATCCTCATCATCATCGGCATCCTGCACTGGAATGAGAAGGTAAATCATTTCTACGTGCCAAAATCTAATGGCGGTATCCCCTATCATGCCACTGCCTGTGTATGTGTGTTTGTGTGTGTGGTGGGGAGCCCGTGGTGCAGTGGTTAGCGCACCGCACTACGAAGCCAGCGGCAGTTATCACAACGAATAACAGTGGAGAATATTTGAACTGGTCCTGGGGCCTCCTCTAGGTCAACACAGCCTTAAGTAAATACAAGGTTGCGGTGTGCAAACATCAGCAATGGAGAGACAAAGGTGGCTAGGCATGGGTGGTGCCTACACCACCTCCTTTTGTGCTGTGCCATCCTTAATTGGTGTTTCTCTAAAAGCACTTGCCCCAACAGTCTTCAAAGTTACATGGGAGATTTTTGTTTTTATCTGACACTGAATGTGTGTGTGTGTGCGCTCATGTGCCTTTGGGCGCCTGTGTGTGTCTATACAAGTATTTTCTGATTGCTTTGACTGTTCTTTATTACACCAATGCTGTCTTTAAAAATCCTACATTCAACTTGTGAATATTATCACACTCAAAATACTCATTAAATTTACGTCAGTATAACTGTAAATTTTAGTTTCTCATTCTCAATGCATTTCAATTTCCAAAAGCATTTGTACACTTAGGAAAGTAACACAGATTACATCCGCTTCACGCTTTAGAACGAAGTTTGTGACGTGACGATCAAACTCACATTTTCATGTTTTTAATTGCCAGATCTGCAGCGTTTTTGCCAAATTATTTAAAACCCACAATTTTACGTGATTCGAGTTTTTTTTTTGTGTGTTCGGTCAGTGGTACTCACACTGAGACCCTAAGCTCACTACATTCACTAAAGTCACGGTTAGGTGAAACTGGCATTTGAACCCAGGATCTCTGCGGTACTGGCTCAATGCGCTAATCCCTAAGCCACCTGCCCAACTCCGCAGTGGAGCAGTTTTAAAAATGCAGTTCTTTTTTTTTTACTATTCAAGGGCCTTCAGTCGATAGCTTCACACGGCTCAGAGTTGCCAGGCAGCGTTTTATAATGAGACCGAGTAGCAGTAAACACGAGGCAAGGTCTTCACACCAACCGTACGAAGATATTAACATGAAACATAAAGTGTGTATTTTATTTTCATATTTACAGTGGGGCGAGGCGGTTGGGAAAAAGTAATAAGCGTTGCTTGTAATTATAGCATAATTTTAAGTCACCCAAGGATAAATTAGATGTTCAAATTCAGCTCTCACTGAACTGTGTGTAAACCAAATGGGACATAAATAAAATAAAATTAAACCTTCACCACACAGCAAAAATTTACATGAATAACACAGCTAAGACCTTTGGTGGAATATTTATAAAACTACATCTGGTCAGAGATCCCTCAGGAATGCCAGCCGGACGTTTAACAATGCCACATGCAGAATGTGCGCACGGTAAAGCCCTCCGGCGGGAATCCCTGTTGATTATTTATAATACCACATGCAAAGCCTGCATATAGTCAATTACAATTACCGCAAACCAGGAGTCAAGGGATTCATTAAAATGCAATTATTAGCAACCAGGCCGGGCTCTTCACTCGCACCTACATCACGCGTGAACGAACACACTTTCAATGTGAAACGCGTTAGACGGCGGTGGACGGTGATCACAACCACCACGTTAACCGCGGCTGGCTCAAAGTTGTCTGCCAACATGTGGGTCGGCCCTTGCCGTTGGCATATGCAGAGACTTTAGTGTAACCCCCTATCGATACACTGCAGGCGACCATTGAACGAAATCCCCGCTTGTTAGATATGTTAATTAAATAGAAATTAGGCCCGTTTTACTCTTTGGTTCTTTCGGTAAAGTCACGTAGAAAGAGAAAATAATAAATTAAATAATAGCATACGACGTTTCGATTGCAACACAAGCAATCATCATCAGGTACAAATAAAAGAGAAAATAAACCTAGTAAACTTAGAAATATAATGCAATACAACACAGAGAGTCGGCGAACATAACAGTCAACACCCTAACTGGTTGATTACGTTCTTCCAAAGAATGCTAAATTTGAGAGCGAGACTAAACACAGAACCGGAGACACACAGACAGACACATAAGCAGAGAGAGATAACACAAAGACACACAGAGAGAGACACACACATAGACACACAGAGAAACAACGCCTTTTGGCGCCTTTTGGCGTCCTCTGGTCTAACACCGTTTGAGACGAGGCTCGAAAGAAAGCCGTCTCTGGTGTGGACCAATCAGTTTCAAAGACAATGCATATACTATCAGGGTATGTTTTTTTGCATTCTGACCACAAGTAGTTGTGGTTAATGCAGACATGATTCCTTGTAAAATGTTTCAGTTTGGTGTTTTAACATCTTAACAGAGCTGTTTTGTTGCCAGAAAAAAGGGGAAAAACCTATTCTTGTATTTTATCAAATTGGCAAAAATTAGCTCTCCCCCCCACCCCGCGCCTCGCCAACCCAGGCCAACCTGAATGCTGAAGTATGGTCTGACGACGCCCATAACCAACTCGGGGGGGGGGGGGGGGGTGCGGAGGCCACGCTGACCTGGATTTACGGTGATCTGTCTTCCGGTGAAGTTTTATTCCTTACTCCATTGCCACTGAATGGAGTCGCCGTTTTCGTCCGGCTGTTATCTCCGTTCCAGTTGAGCTCAATTACACTGTTGGGCGCTCACCTTTTACATAAGCACTTGCAGTTCCTGCAGATAAGATGTCGTTCCTGCTGAGCTGTGCCCAATTGTCCAGAGCAGCGCATCTGCGGACCCAGTGTCGTTGACAAATTTCCATGGAAAAACAACTGCAATTTTTGAGATATTGTCTTTCATTGGGCTCCCAGAGAGAGTGGTTTTCAAATAAAACAATTGATTGATTGATTTAATATACGTGTACAACTGTAAATTGCATCGGGACTTTTTGCAAATGAGTTGGGTACAACTCAATGACGGCATCATGTGTAATGATGATGGTGATGATGATGGTAATGACGTGCCACCAACATTAACTTTCTACCTCGGCACTTGTCCAGCAAATCGGCTCCCACGTTGATCAGCTTGACTGCGTTTCCAGGAGCTGTTAATCTGTCTTCTGGGTGGATTTTGGCTCGGGGTGAAATGGCACGAAGTAATATGTTCATCCACTCCTCTAAACAATCATGGTAAAACCTGGCCAAATTACAACCGCTCCCGACCAAGACCTTTCCCTTTTTTTTTACTCCATAGACTCTTGGCACGCAACAACTGCCTTACTGTTGATGACATAACGCCGATTGCCTGGCTTCTATTAAAGTGTGAAGGTTTCGTTCACTGGGCAAATTGTATCCGCCCCACTACCAGTGGCGAACATTCCCGTGGGCTAGCATTTGCATGCAACGCTGAGCAAGCACAGGGGAGCCTTGATTGAGGAAGCAGTGCATTGCAAACGACTTCACAGGCATGCGTTGAGATAATTTAACCAATCATCATCAGCCATGATCAATCCGCAGCTGGATAAAGGTCTCCCCAGGCCATTGCTGTCCACCATTGTCCCGCGATGTGACCAATCCATTGAGCTCCTGCACGTGACCTCTGTTTTCACCGCTCCGTCTCTGCGGTGGCCATTTTCTTGGCCTTGTTCCCTCTCTTTGGCTGTCACTCCGTAATTAGCCCCCGTCCGGCGACGTGTCCCGCCCAGGCCCACTTTATTTTTCTCGAGCATTCATTTTGATGCCTCGTCACTTGGAGAGGTGGCCAGCTACTATTGGCTGAGTCCTCGTCAGTTTTTCCTTTAGCAGTACTGGACTTTGCAGCCGAGCGAGCGAAATGCAGGCTTCTTGGGGCTTAGTTTTTTTTTATTATCCTAGGTATTTAATATTTTTCATCGTGATATTTTTATATATATATTTTTTTTGCAAAGAACATTGCGGAGGCGGAACATACTGCCGATTGCAGTTGCGTGCACCGGCCAGTCCGCGGGAGCCGTGATCGACAGCTCTTGCCGGGGACGGCGCTCGCTGGCTCGTCGGTTGGCATCGATGACGTGTTGAGTTGGCGAAAGTTAAACAGAGGCCGGACGACGATCTATAATGTGAGGTGGGGGGGCGGTGGGGATTTGTCCAGGCGGTTTGATAATTGAAACTGTGAATTTCCGAATGCAATAAAGCGCATGCACGAGTTTGCCTGAATAGGGTGAGTATTGACATTTCCTCTCCCACAAGCACAATTGTATTTTTGCCGCTCGGAAGGTAAAACATAGTCAAATAATGGGCCCGCCAGTGGTAATGATGACAGTGAGACACGACTCTTTTCATTCCATAGTGCTGTTTTTCACATAGCTGAATATAAATATTGCCTGCGGTTATTATTATTTTTCATTATTTTTGTTCTTCAAAACACAGTTGTGACGCGTTCATGATATGCGCGAGGGTCTTGTGCCGAGTCTCGCGATGATGATGATTACAGAGATTATATTGATGATGGTGGGAGTGGTGGTGATGATGGTGGTGGTGGTGATTGTAGCGGGGATGTCGGATGTGATGGTGTCGGGACGGTGGTGATTGTAATGACAACTTGACAGGATAAACGTGACAACGCATTGTGACGTCACGGTGTTTAAGAAAAAACATTTAAGTGTGTAAATTAGGATAACACCCCAACGTAACCGACACAATTGGCGCAGGCCCGTGAAACATAGTTTCAACAGCAGCACGTAGTTCGTGTGCATGCAGTGCACGAAAGCAGAATCGCAGGCTTTGAGTCGGTGACACTGATGATGAATGGTGGTAATGATACCAGTGTCGAATGAGTTGGTCTCGTTTGACGTGTAAATCAATGACCCCTTAGAACATTCATACTATGCCCTTATTCCTTCATGCGCTTTGTTCGGACTGAGATCACGGGTTCCGTCTAGTTCCACTCGTGAATGCTGCCCATTAGGTCCGCCCTCACAGTAGCGTAAGGAGAAAATGATTGAATGGGTATGAGTGCACAGACACGCACGAAAGACAAAGATCCCCCATATAGCCTTACCAGACTGTTGAGGCAAGTGCTGTTCGCGTGCACCCATGAAGATCGGCACTGTGGCACACGAGGGGGTGGGTGGCCAGCACCACGCCCGGCCGCCTTTGTCTCCCAAGTTGAGATGTCGACACACCGCACCAGGTACTCACTTGAGGCTGAGTCGATCTAGGGGAGGCCCAGGACCGGTTCAGATAATCGTCACTGGTGTAGGCCGTAGCGCGCTAACCGCTACGCCGCCACTCCCCACCACACACACACACTCTGTGAAGAAAGGTGGAGTATTTACAAGTGTATAGGCTTCTACAACAAAGCAGAGGAGCATTAAAGATTGCCTCAAGGCTACAGTCGGAAAATAAAATATAAAAAGTGAAGGCCATGTGAGATGTATCACAATATAGATTCAAATACTAACAATGCCACCGATGCAGGCCACATGAGAAATTCCATGTTTAAATACCATAATTAAACAACACAATGTGAACAATACGTGTATGCAATTGCAGAGGGAAATATATGGAAGTTTTTTTCAGTTCACCTTTTACTCGAGGCAGTTTTTTTTAATTAATGACTGTGTTCATTTAATAAAAATCCTGTTAATATGAAGCATTCATCCTCTGAAGGTGAAGTGCAATGCATTGTTATGGCGGATAATTATTTGCAAGTTTGAAATTTTTCGGCATGATTTCCCATCACGTCTCCTACCCCCAAACTTGCACGGCGTGGTGGAGATTTGTGGCGGACAGCTCGCGCATGCTGCGTCGCCATAACCACTTCGTTTAGCATGGCTGGCTACGTTATGACGCGAAAGAAATTCAGCATACATACGTACACCTCAGCCAGGCTGACCTGATTCGTGAATCGGGCAAGAGTCCCCACGGCAACCTCACCAGACCAAGCGAGCTATAACCGGGACGTGCGGCCTGCTTCTACCGCGGCTCTGAGGCAGGCCGCCCCTTGTGAAGGGTCGCGAGGTCACGGACGCGACGGGTCCCATCAATGGCTCGTCTCGCATAATTAGTCATCTTCGTGGTCGTCTTTGAACATACATATAAATATCACGAACAACAGATACTAGGTTGAAATAGTGTGAGCTAACCCAATAACGCGTAAAGCCCTGTTGTCTTATTTTAAAGCGGTGACTTTACACCTGTCACTGCCAGAGAGAAGGTTTCGGGGAGAGTTGGAACCTGGTCTGTTCCAGGCAGGCATTAACATCTGAATGGGCTTGAAGCGGACCAAGACCTCTATACGTTTCCACACACAGCACATTGTAGAAACAAGTCCTGGCCAGTGCTTGTTAGAATGTGGGGGGACCCTTGACTTCGTTAAAATAAATCACAATACAACACTTGGCTGGGCATTATGCACTCTCCTTATTGGTCTTCAAGTCAAGGCCTCGCTCATCCATTCACTCAATTTGCAAGTTCAGGTTATGCATTGTTATATTGGCTGTTCCTGCGGGGCACCTAGAGAAGCACAGCCTAAAGGCTTCACCACTGCTGTCTGTGATCATGACGAGCTCCAGACTAGAATCACTCCAACAAGATCTGTCTTTCCTGGAAGCCAGAGCAGACCATTAACTGTGGGCCTTACATCGTGCTTATAAGTGTGTGTGTGTCATCGCATGACCAAAGGCATGAGAAGCAGACTGGTTTAGGGTGACCTTAAACCGGGCTTGGTGAATGGGGAGCATTGGTTGCAATTACCCTCTGGACAGGTATCAATGTGTAACTGACTGGAGCCGCAAAGCAGCGTGTGGGTTGTTGAGAGGGGGCGTCCATCACGGGCGTCCCACCTGTCAAATCCAACAGTTAATAAATTCACACTCGTGTGGCTGTGTTTTTTTTCTCTCCAAATCAGCCGGGTTTCAGCCGCGCACTGCGAATCCGCGCCAGCGGAGAAGGAATGAGCACAACTCATTCCCATCATGGTCCAGTAGCGCTCCGCTCCGGGCCATGCGAACGCATCTATCCCAGGGGCTGCAGTGTCATCACAAACACCTTGGGGCTGTCGGACGGCGAGGATGAGCGATACCCGGCTTGGTCGGCCAGACAGACGTCGTGTTCCAATGTCACCCCAGCCGCTCACGCTCAACGAGCAATTAAACACACGGTGCTTTAATGCCCGACTTCAACAAACAAAAACAAGCAAAACATTACGTGTTAGACTGATGAACCTCTGTGCAGCCGGCAGCTTGGAATTGCTCATTTGTGATCGTTATTATAATGGAGACATTTGTCTGGTACTTTATTACGCAGCGCAGCATAACGCCCGCTCACTCTCTTTCTCTTTCCGCTTCACCCTTCTCTCCGGTAATTGCAGGTAATTTTCAACGATATCAACTTGGACTAGGCCGCTCTCCCAATTGGCATTCCCCTGCGAGTAGTGCCAACTATGTCTATGACATCTGCTTTGGCTCGGTCGATAAACATAGTCTCATACTGGCTAACAGGACAATGAGTCCACGCCTTTGATTTGACCCGCTGAACTGTTGCACAGCTTCGTGCTCAAGAACGACAAATCCACGCTCAAACACATAAACTCATCGATCTTGGCAAACGCATATCTGGGCGTGGAAAAAAGTTGGGTTGTTAGACACGCTTCATGGGAAAACAGTAAGAGTCGGACATTAGATGTGTGCGATATTTAACAAAGGCACTGTGGGGCTTTGCTTGTGGACACTGTCGATTGCGTGCGCACCGACAAGGTGCAGTGGTGGCGGGTCCACAGTGAGCTGGCAGCGCACAAGCGAAGTCCGCTGCCCCGAACGTGTTAATTATCATCATTAAAACAGTTGTGGTTCGGGGGAGAGAAAAATATTTGTATACCCTCGGCAAATTCTCTCTCCGACATGAGATATTAAAATTATGCAGACTTGGGGAGTGCCCGATGCAATGATCGCACAATGTGCTTAGATAAATGTAAGTTTGTGTGTGTGTGTCTGTGGTATATACCCAAATGTTAACTGATTGTGAAAGTTTGGTAAGTAAGCGTCTTCCCACGCCAACTCGGCAGGGGGACTTTCACCTAAAACACATGCCTAGCAGAAAGGGCAATGTGTTAATTTTGTCATCTCCAAAATTGACTGTTACATTGGCACACATTGACCTGTTCTTACAAATAATGCCGCTGTATCTCTTCAGATGACATTTCGCATCCCGTACGTTTTTTTCGGCGAGGCCATAAAGCATTCACAGGAAGAAGTGCGGTTTGACCCAGCAAACCACTGCAATTTTGCACAACAGTAACTATCGCGTTGACCGATAGATTGTATAGATTTAAGAACATAAATATGGGATACCCACGTATGTGCATGTTGGTGTGTGTGTGTGCTTGTCGGGAGCGGTGGCACAGTGGCTAGCGCACTACGCTACAAACCCGGCGACCCGAGTTTAATTCCCGCTCACGGCCAACACTTTCTGAACCGTTCCGGGGCGTTCTCTAGGTCGACTCGGCCTCAAGTGAATATCTAGTGCGGTGTGTAAACATCAGCACTGGGGAGACAACGGCGGCCGGGCGTGGTGTTGACCACCCACTCCCTCGTGTGCCATGCCAGCCTTCATAGGTGCTCGCTAACAGCACTTTCCCCAACAGTCTGTTGGAGGCTATACGGGGGATCTCTGTCATTGTCGTCTTGTGTAATTGCCGCTTGCACGGTGGGGGGGGCCCCCATGAGGCTGCCGCTTTTAAGCTCAACTTTAATCCCGTAACTCGGAGCAGTTACGGGACTCGCCCCGCCGTTGTGATGAGGTCAATCTTCACAGAAGAGAGGTCCCAGGCAATACAGCGGCACGTTTAAACGCGCGCAGTGCTGCCCAGCGCCCGCCATCTGGTCGTGAGACTGGCAGGGCGCATACAAAGACGTCCGGGCCACAACGACACCAAGCTGGCCACGTTCTGATGTTGACGCAGCCACACCGCGTCCTCATTTATGGGCCGAGGCGACCCGGGAGAGGCACGCGCCCGTTTCGTATTACTCTTTCCACTGATGTCGTGCAATGCCGGGGATTCAAACCGAGTCTCCCGGTCTGTGGTGCATTGCGCTCAGCACTTTGCCACCACACCTCCGATTAGCACTGTTGGCTACGTACGGTGCGAAATAAGTTCTACATACATACACTGTGTACACATCGATGCGTGTGCGTGCACGCGTGCGTTGGCGATTGACAAATGACAACAGAGTAAATTTAAACATTAAAGTAATATTGGGAGAAGGCTTTTTGCGGCATGTGAGTGGGGGCGTGTGCATTTTGTGCGGTTATGTGACTATTATTTTTTTAATCTGTGTACTTTGAGTGCATTGCCCTATTTGAGTCGTCTAATTCAATATCAAACCACCACCTTCTACCCCCCTCCCCCCCCCCGCCCGTGTCTCTGTTTTGCAGAAAGCAGACGATAAGGAGAAAAGGCTCGAGGCTCACCGATTCCACTTTGATGCCATGTAGACGCAGCGGCGACCTGCACACTCAACACGAACGCACTTCACGACACTCCCCACGCGTCGCCGTGTCACTTGCTCCAACCGTAGCGGCAGGTTTCTGGGATGGCAGGTGACAACATCCAGCCCCGTTCGCTACTTGGTTTCAGGCCGGCTCAACCTAAGGGCGACCCAAGGCCAGGTCTAGACACCCACCGGTAGCTCACTCGCTAACAGCTGCACCGCCGCTCCCCACGTAACCCACACGAACACAGCACGCAATTAGTAGCGCGCACACGCACACACATTCATCACAACTGCACCCCTCAATTGTTGTTTTAATACGTTACAATTGGTGACCGGGGTGGGGGGGGGGGGGGGTCCTATTCATTTTGTTTCTTCTTTAATCCCCGAACCAAACGGCCTCTGCTCGAACCCCCCCCCCCTCTCCCCGGAGGTTAAAGCCGCGTACACAAGTGAGCGGGTGCCCCGTGGGCGCCCTCGACACCTCTCGATTGAGTGGACCGGTGGGGAGGGAGCGGAGGAGGGGAAGCGGTGCCGCGCTCCACGCCGACGCGCGACCCGGGCTGGCGCCCCTCGCTGCCCGCGATACCGCGGGCTTGATCCGTCGACGTGACTCGTGCGATGCACGTGACGCGACGGCCGAGCCCGCGGGCCGGCGCCTGCCCCCTTAACACCGAGAGAGTATAGAGATGCGCTTGCATAAATCCACGAGCGTTATCGCCTTAACGGATTTTTTTTTCGGGCGAGTGCTGTTAGCGAGCACCTATGAAGTCCGGCACGTTGCACGAGGGGGTGGGTGGACGGCACCACGCCCGACCGCCTTTGTCTCCCCAGTGACGATGTTTACACAACGCACCAGGTACTCATTTGAGGCTGAGCCGACCTACGGGAGGTCCAGGACCGGTTCAGATAATCGTAACCGGTGGTGGCCGTGTCGCCAGGTTCGTAGCGCAGCGCGTTAGGCACCCACCGCTCCCAGCCACCTTATATCGCACACGCAAACACACACTTATACGACGTGCACACGCATGGGCTGATTCAATACTCGTTCAGTGTCCATTGTTACGTGGGCAAGGGCTGTTGGGGGATCATGCATTTACTTAAAAGATGGGTTCTTTAAAAGGAGTTATTTGAATAAATGTCGACAGTTCCACAAATTAGGCACCCTCGCCGTTTGCGCAAATACAGGGTGTAAGTTTTGAAGTTAATTATCAAGTTTTACTGAATATGGATCATTGACTACATAAGTCAGTGGTTTGAAGCAGACGTGAAACTCAACTGACCATCGTGCCAGCGTAGTTGAAATGGTTAAATATTATCTGTGCATTGGACAGCATGATATTTTATGAGCAATTATGAAAACACTTCGACAATTTATTTCCGTATATGCCCAAGTAAAAATCCACTTCTGTTACACGAATAGTGTGCCATTGCTTTGGGGCAGCAGTGGTAATAACACGGGAGCCTCAACGAAAATGTATCCTGAGTTCGATTCTCAGCTCGGGTGCCGTTCTGTGTGGAGTGTGTCCGTTCCCCACCTGTTCTGCATCACTCCCTCTGGCCTCTCCTCCGGTGTAACTCCTGTACCATGCAAATTGGTTTTGTTCAAGCGTCCCAATGCCGAAAATACAGACCTGCACATTACAGTGCTGTCCTCAATTGCAATTGCACGCAGCTGTGACAGCGCCCCCTACTGTGGCAGCCTGGCAGAACCTTCTTGACGAAGTGTCGAGGCTCGGTGAGGATTTCCGTAACGCGAAGCAAATCTTTCTGTTTGAAATATACGCCCCGAATTGTGGAATGTGGCAATGTATTGGCGAGAGAAAGGCATGTGTTGACTGGATGACATTGCTTGTTATTCCTGAGTAAGGCAAGGCCATTGGAATCTATCGGGTTTCTTGTGGGTACCATTAATCCCTTTGTTTTGGAATGTACGCATGTTGTATATGTGCTGTGCTAAAATCAGGATGTATCATTTATTTCAATCACATTTTAATTTTGTAAATACTGTACGGTAACTTAATGGTGTGGTGTACGTACAAGTGCCAGTAAATGTTGGTGACAGTGACTGTAATTATTTCCGTTCGCCGTTTGTCCCTGTGTGTACAATTACAACAGATGAGCATTGTAATTGTTGTTTTACGACTACTGATGCATTGTTTACATTCATTGTGTTCTCATTTTAATTGGCACCTTCCCCGGCTTTTGGGAGTGCGTTCAAACCGCGGGTGTTGACTCTTCTCTTGAGCGAGTGTGAGTTTTTTCTGCTCCAGAAACAAGCTGTGCCATAACAGCTTACAAAAGGGAGTCTCAATGCCAGTTGAACCTTTCACCTGATCTACGTAACGAAAATATACTTATCCTTGGTTCTTTCGGTAAAGTCACGTAGAAGGGAAACAATAAAATAATAAAAAAATATAAAAGGATACGATTCTCACGATGTTTCAACTGCAACACAAGCATTCATCATCAGGTGTGAAAACCACAGCAAGAAAATGTGACAAAAGTGGCGGTTTTTTTACGTTAGTACCACGGACAGCAAGCAATCTGGCTACCGTGAGAGATTCGTTCATGAGGCTATACACATATACAAACACAGAGACAATTTCAACAGAGAAGATGGATTCTGGTTTAGCAATCATTGGAAGGATTTGATAAACCATTTCTGGTCTTAATTGTGTTCACTCTTACGGTGGCTTTCAGACCGCATTCCATTATCTTCCTCTCCCCCCTCCTTTTTTTCCGAACAACTGCCAAAATCGCTGTCCGTGGTACTAACGTTAAAAAACGCCACTTTTTTCAAATTTTCTTGCTGTGGTTTTCACACCTGATGATGATTGCTTGTGTTGAAGTCAAAACGTCGTGAGAATTTTTGTGTTGTATATTTTTATTATTTTATTGTTTCCCTTCTACGTGACTTTACCGAAAGAACCAAGAATATGAATCCCTGCAGTCACGAAAGCTTTAAATAAAAAAAAGAAAATATACTTGTTTTTATATGTCCAGTTCACACTGACGTATCGGAACGCTGCTGAAGCTGTGCGTACTCGGACGACAAGAAGAGAACATACATTGTCTGGGATCTGTCGTCCAAAATCTCAAACCCCCAAGTCCACGGACCCGTTCCCTCTATATCCCTTTAGCCCGAGGCTGTGAGCCTCCGGCTGGGTGAAAAGAGCGTGAGGCTGAGTGATGAGATCGAGGCGGCAGAGTCGGATGTTGGAGTGTCCAAGGCCACGTGGATGAATGAGACCTTTTTTTCCTCTCTGCAGCAGTTGCCGGTGCGATTTGGGATGAAAGCACAGGGCTGCCTTGCTGCTCACAAGTCGCGTGGCACCGCATCGCTTTAATGAGGGGAAAGGAGCCCTCCCAGAGTGGGTGGTGGGCAACCGAGGCTGCGTCCGTCCCACAGGGGGGGGGGGGGACAGCGATTTGTAGCCGGAACGCAGCACGCGGTACGGTCGCGCCGTGTACGCTGACCGCTAAGCAAATCACTCGCGAATGCGCCGGATTCTCGGGGGAGCTAAGCAGGGGTTGAACCTGGAAAGTACTTGGATGGGTGGCCACTGCGTAAAACGCGGTTGTTAGAGGGGGCTACGTTGTGGGAAGCAAAAGGCAGTGGAGTGAAAACTCCCTTTCTAGTCTGTCCTGTGCTCACAAGCCTATGCTCCCCACGCTCGCTAACCCGCAATGACCAGCGTGGTGAAGTATGGTCAAACAACCCCCACGACTGACGCGGTGTGGGGGGGGGACCTTCATCCAGCAGCGGATTGATCATGGCTCACGACGATGGTTGATTGACTGTCGTCGTATTAACAGCAACTTGGCGCAATTCGTCACGATGCATAACTACTCGGTGTTGTGGCACCGACGTGTGCCCGGAGCACGGCGCCTCCTCCTCCACCCGCCGCTTGCCTCCACCCCAGCCTAACCCTGCTGCTCCCTCCGCCATATCCCACTCCTCACCTACCTACCCAGTATCCACAACCACTCAGCCAGCCTGCCGTGTTTGTATCCCCGCCGCTGCGGCCGCTGTGTGGGAAGGCGCGAGGAGCGCGGTGTCGGACGCAGTTGAACGCGACGCTAATAACGCGACTCGACAGTCCCAGCGCGATCCACATTCTGTGCTACGTGCCCGTGGTGTCGGTGTGCGTGCCGGCGTGTGTGTATGTGTAGAGTGTGTGTATGTGTGTATGTGTGAGCATGTGTGTATGTGTGAGCATGTGTGTGTGTGTGAGCGTGTGTGTGAGCGTGAGCGCGTGTGTGTGTGAGCATGTGTGTGTGTGAGCGTGTGTGTGTGAGCCTGTGTGTGTGAGCGTGTGTGTGAGTGTGTAAGTGTGTGTGTGAGTGTGTGTGAGTGTGAGTGTGTGAGTGTGTGAGTGAGTGTGTATGTGAGTGTGTGTGTGAGTGAGTGTATGTGAGTGTGTGTGTGAGTGAGTGTGTGTGAGTGTGTGTGAGTGTGTGTGTGAGTGTGTGTGAGTATGTAAGTGTGTGTGTGTGAGTATGTAAGTGTGTGTGAGTGTGTGAGTGGGTGTGTGTGAGTGAAAGTGTGTGAGTGTGTGTGTCGCCAGATGCGCATGGTCGTGCAGAGAGCGCGGCGGTTGACATGAGCTGACTCGCTTCGAGACAAGGAGACCGACGCGCCTGGATTCCAGGGCGTACTTTCGCACTCGGCGTTGTCCGGAACGCCGCACGCAGCTCTAAGGCTTGGCTTGGAGTAGGGAATTATCCGCGTAAGGCGACGGTCACTTTAAAGAGAGTATAATACATCCTACGAGGACAGCGCAGAGCGAGAGAGCGAGATGGATGTGGCGCGGTCCATTACGGCGTCCCGGGACCGTTCCCGACAGTCGTGGGGACTAAGATGAAGCGCGCGTCGGCTCGCGGCGTCGTCTCGTCGCTCCGTCGCGCGAGGCGGCTCCGCGCGGTCTTCTCATCAGCGCCACCGCCTCGCCGGTGTGGGGGGGGGGAGGAGGAGGAGGATTCGCCGCCGCTGCGCTTCGACGCTGCGTCGCGCACCGCACGCGCGGCTGTGTGCAACGTGAGTGGCGGGGGTGGTCTGTGCCTGCCCGCTTCGCCAACCCCCCCCCGCTCAATGAATTTGCCGTCATTGGATAGTTTGGAGGAGGTGGCGGCGCTTTTGGTGGTGGTGGTGGTGGGAGACAGGGGAAGAGCGCATCACACACAGCGCGCGTGGACGCCGTGCACACTCGCGCGCTCGCCACACGATCGAGCGCACGATGTTACATCCACGCTCCCGCCTCCACCACGCGTTGGACTCGTGATCGTCAGCGGCGGCAACAGCGGCGGCGTTCGGCAGCAGCAGCAGCAATATCATCAGCGGCATCGTCCAGCGTTTCACAGCAGCGACGCGCAAAGATGCGCTTCGCGATTGCGTGCGTAAGGAACTGAAGACGTTTCACATCTCATGCCTCGTTACTGTGCCTGACATGCCAACGAATCGACGGGCGCCCTTGACTGGTCATTAGCATCGACATCCTAACGATGATTTAAGCTGAAACTAATTAAAATGATTTCGACGAATGTAATGACGATGATGATGCTGCTGCTGCTGCTGATCGAGAAGATGTACTGAAGCAACGGTGTGCGCTTTGATGGATATGTCGACGTTCACCGGAGAATCTTACTGCCATCGATCTTCCTGACCGAGTTGAACACGGGGTTAGTTCTACTGCTGCTGGTGCTGCTGCTGGCACTGCTGCTACTACTGCTGGCACTGCTGGTACTGCTGCTACTGCTGCTGGCACTGCTGCTACTGCTGCTGGCACTGCTGCTGGTACTGCTGCTGGTACTGCTGCTAGTACTGCTGGTACTGCTGCTAATACATACTCCTGGTACTGCTGCTAGTACTGCTGCTGGTACTGCTGCTAGCACTGCTGGTACTGCTGCTACTGCTGCTAGTACATACTCCTAGTACTGCTGCTAGTACTGCTGCTGGTACTGCTGCTAGCACTGCTGGTACTGCTGCTAGTACTGCTGCTGGTACTGCTGCTAGCACTGCTGGTACTGCTGCTGGTACCGCTTCTACTGCTGCTACTGCTGCTGGTACTGCTGCTGGTACTGCTGCTGGTGCTGCCGGTGCGGAGGCTGGGGAGCTTTGACGCCGTGGGAGTGGTGTGGGGGGGGGGCATGGAGCAGCCCACGAGCTCGTCCGCCTGTCTGCACGGCCCGAGCAAGATCCTCTGCTGCGCCCTCATGCTCAGCGCTCGCAAGCTCGTCCTCTTCCAAGGTACGCGACGACGCCTCTAGGTCCGCTCGGCCTAAACACACAGAGAAAAAAACTAAATTGGATTCTCGCTCATCCTTGCGGTGACCGGGTCTCGGTGTGGCCGTACAGCTGGCCAAGCAGATCCCGCTCGGCTCGGGAGACGCGAGGGGTGTGGGGGGGGCTGTCGGGGTGTGCTGGGTAGGGTGCCGACTCATAGACGACCCCCCCGGTCCACCACCACCATCGAGAAGACTGCTCCGGTCTTGCCAGTCGTAATAGGCGCTCGCTAACAGCGCCCGCTTCCAACTGTCTATATATAAAGGCGAGTCCGCGCGTGGTAACGGAATCCTATAAGATAAATGCGAAGACCACATAAACGACCGGGCATTCAGGTAGGTCCTTGTATGTGTGAGTAGCAAACCAGTCCTGCTGTGTTAGGGGAACATTGAGAAACTAACGAAATCGGTGTTAATGTTTGTAATCCCAAAACTGTCAAATGCACCATATGCATATTTGAGTGTTGGCTACACCCACACACACACAGCAGTGACACTTGCTCTCGGTCTGTGCCTCGCTTGGGTATACTCAGCCTAAAATGAGCTCCCCGTTACATATTACTCGGTGCCGAATGCATAATCGGTGCTCGCAAACAGCACTTGACCGCGACGGTCTGTGCATCTTTGTGTGCTCATTAATAATAAAAAGAGATTGCAACCGATAAACAACATCAGTGATGTGATTTAGCAGAGGAGCACACGGAGGAATGGACTAACGGCGTGGAGATGGAGTGATGAACCTCGGATTGAGATCTATGGATGAACTGCAGCTGCACAAGTCCACCGGTGTCAGCGAATATAGAATCCCTCATCCAGCAGTGGAAAAAGAGTGCCAGATGATGTTGATACATTGTGAGTTTGCGTCTGGATTTCATCAAAAGATCCCGACGAAGCGAGCATCTTGCAGCATAAGATCAAACAGTAACACATTTCTGTGCAAATCAGGCTCGTCATATTGATTTTCAGTGCCCCAATATAATTATTTGTTTATTCAAGGAATAATAGGTAAGGAGGAATCATACATTGCCTGTGTATTGGCACCAACCCAGCCCAGCAGCTTTAGATGTATGCCAATTTTATTTTTATTATTCAGACCCAGGTCGCAATGAGCCGTGCCATCGTGTGCATTGTTAGTGTTTTGTAAAGTATCGTAATAGTTGTAGCGGTTAGACAATTGATCATGTGTGTATGCCCAGTGCTTAATGAATAACGACTACGATATTGATGATGATGATGGTGGTGTTGATGTGAGCTTATAAATGGCAGGAAATGTTAATTACAAGAATTGCACGTTTTGCAATGGAACTCAAACCTATTGCTGCACGGATCTGAGTCAAGAGCCACTCATTATTTCTTGCACATTCTGCAGGCGCAGCTATGCGCCAGTCTGACTCCTTGCAAAGTGGCAGGCTTTGACGTAACATTAAACGGAAGGCAAGGCTGAGCCTACCTTTTAACGAGCTGTGGAATTCGCCCTTAATTGGCCTCATCGCTCTGGCCGATACAAAAATATTTCACGTCGCCTCGAATTACATTCAAACAATGACATTAACTAGCGCTGGAACGGCGACACAGCAATTGATTATCAACGGCGTTTGCACATTTCATGACCAAGCGTTCAAGTGCATCAGTATGAATTGAATATGCCAAGGTGACTTTCCGTGTCATGCCCACATTCACAAATATAAATGGACAAACGCATTTTCTGTTCTCTCTCATCACGTAAAGAAAAATGAATAAATCTCAGTGCCTCGGTGCTCCATAGAATTGCTGTTGCCCCTGGCCACAGACTTACTGGCGTCATGTGGAAACGCGAGGGTAACTCCACGTCGCTGAAGAGGGGAAACAAAGGCAAGAGGTTTGTTATAATTTGGACGCGCATAAGGCACTACAACGTCAAAATACGCAAGGTGTTCAATTTGAAAGGGGAACAAAAACAGCGGGCGGGCGGGCGGGCGTGAAAGGAGTCGAGAATCTAGAATCAGATTCCCCCCACCACCCCATCCCTCGTGCTGTGCGAATCTCATTATGATCGCTTTGGAGGCTCCGCTTCGAGCTGCCCGCACTGCAGTGCCGTATCGGCAAGCTACCCGAGCAGACAGCGAAAACCAGTGACGAACAGGAGAGTTTCGCGTGAGCGAGAAGGGGGCCTTTTGCCGTTCATTGCACGAGCTGCCAAAACCCGCGTCTCTGCGGCTGTAGCGTTGTTGGCAAGGGCTCCTCTGGTAACAATTAATAAAACGGTACCCCCCCCACCACCCCCCACCCGTCACCTTCCTGTTAAAGTTTTCACCTCCTCCGTGGCCCGGTGCCTGGACCCTTCCTCCGGCTCGTTGGCATCAGTGCAGCTGCACCGCCTGCACACTCGATGGCTTTGCCACACCAACAAGTATTGTGTTATTGGACTTGTTTGGTGCACGTACTGAACGCGTATGAACGCATTGTGACATTTTATTTGACTACCCATGTGTGGTTCATGTTATGGTACTGGTGTCTTTTTAGGGCTATATACATGTGTGTGTGTTGTGTGTTTCGTGTAAAGTTAACATTGATGTGCCATCACGCTAAGACTGTTTGCAGCTCGGCTGAAATTCAATATTATGTAAACATTGCACTGTTTTGAAATGCGGTGCCATTTGATCTTGAAGAGCGTTGAAACACAGGAGTAGTGCATCGCTATACACTAACAGGAATTGACAGACACGAGTATGGGTTGTGTGAAATATGCAAGGACGAGACAAAGCAAATTAAGTCTTGTAAGAGCGTATATAATTCCATTTTGCAAGAAATACATGTGATACATTGATGCAGAGTACAATTAATATTCACCTAAATAATGCATCACACAGACTGAATATGTCATCAGTGTGATAAGAAAACAAATGTGGGACACTTAGATGTATGGACTTTGGGCCGTTTCTTCTTGAGAGTGTGAACAGCAGGGAGGGATGAAAACCAGCTTCTTTAACCCTTTTATTTGATTATTGGAGGAACAATGAGAACGGAGGGTACACAACACAAGCTCAAGATGAAATAGCATGCTGTCACTTGTTTTTTATTGATCAGATAAGGCCCACTAAGCTATATAGCTCTTTCTCAGAAGCGACCTGCCCACAAATGATAGCTCAACGAAGCGACATATCATCGCGTGGAAATGTAGAGGAGCCAAATTACTCTAAACACCCGATTCTAAACGTGGAGGGATAAAACCCCAGAGGACCCAAAGAAAAATCCACTCGACCACGGGGAGAGGGACACGCTGACTCCAAATGTACAGGCATCGTCAGGGTCGGGATCGAACCCACGACTTCCTGTATACCAGGCGAGGTGGTTAACATCTCGCCACCATGTAGCATAACTACATATTATCCATGTAGTTATGCTACATGGGCAGTGATCACAGGGTATATATATATTGTCCATACTATCCATGTACTTATGCTACATGGGCAGTGATCACAGGGTATAGGCTCAACTTTTAAATAATCTTGTGTCATTTTATTATTGTTTCACAGACTTTTAACCGCCCCTCCCCCCACCCGCCCCATTTATATCAAATGTGCTTCTGGCACGATATCACGTCATATATCACGTCATATATCACGATATTACGTCATATATCACGATATCACGTCATATATCACGATATCACGTCATATATCACGTGGCGCAAACATGATTTGTAAATTCTCGCACATCGTTGCGCCACCTCCTCCCCACGAGTCAGACAACACCTCCTGAGATGCGCCTTTTTATTTTTGTCCAGGGACTTCTGACAAAAAAAATATCCTTCATGTGGCATTTATATCCTTCACACAGTAGGGGGCGACCTCTCCTGTGCATGTACTCTATGTTGGACTTCTTTCGCACCGTACGTAGCCAGCCGTGCTAATCGGAGGCGCTGTGTGTGTGTTGAACTTCTTTCGCACCGTACGTAGCCAACCGTGCTAATCGGAGGTGCACTCTGCAGCGAGATATTTTTCCCCACTTTAAAGTCCTGCTGATATTTGCAATATTCAGAGTTGGAATTTAGCCAAATCAAGTGCAGCACCAGCTACAATGTGGCAGGGTTTTGTGTTCGAGGTGCGTGTGTGTGGGGTGTGAGTGTGTGTGTGTGTGCGAGGTGTGTGTGGTGTGTGAGTGTGTGTGTGTGTGGTGTGTGAGTGTGTGTGTGTGCGAGGTGTGTGTGTGTGGTGTGTGAGTGTGTGTGTGTGCGAGGTGTGTGTGTGCGAGGTGTGTGTGTGTGCGAGGTGTGTGTGGTGTGTGAGTGTGTGTGTGTGCGAGGTGTGTGTGTGTGCGAGGTGTGTGTGGTGTGTGAGTGTGTGTGTGTGCGAGGTGTGTGTGTGTGCGAGGTGTGTGTGGTGTGTGAGTGTGTGTGCGAGGTGTGTGAGTGTGTGTGCGAGGTGTGTGTGCGAGGTGTGTGTGTGCGAGGTGTGTGTGTGTGTGCGAGGTGTGTGTGTGTGCGAGGTGTGTGTGTGTGCGAGGTGTGTGTGTGGTCATGAGTGACCGGGTCTAAGACCAGATCTCTATTCGCCACGCTCCTCGAGACCCCGGTTTAACGATGGCCGTGCCAGCAACGACGGCTGTGACCCGCGATCCATCCGACCGCCTCCGACTGCTCTAAGACACAACACCCGACTCCCTGACTCAGAAGCCCGTGACCTTTACGACTATTGGCGACCCCAGTCGCGGGGAGGGGGGGGGCATGAAGGCGCAAGGCGAACAAAGCCGGCAAGTTGCTCCTCCAGATCGAGAGCAAATCCAATTGCCCTTTCGCGATAGATATTGCCGACAAGGCGCGCACACACACACCCTCACACTCACACACACACACTCACTCACACACACTCACCCACACTCACCCACACACTCACCCACACACTCACACACACACACTCACACACACCCACACACTCACACACCCACCCTCACACACACACACTCACCCACACACTCACACACACA